TAGTATTCTCGCAACAGTAACTGCTTGATTACAACACAATGAATACAAAAATATTTTTGAAAAAGGAATGTATGTATTTAAATTGATTGCATAAATATAGTTGACTTTATTTACAAAACCATATCATGAATATATGTTGTGTCACATTTACTGGTCTTTGACAAACTACTCAAAAATGAAATGAAGTCATATCTTAGACTGTTTCTAATTTTACTAGCGTATATCGTGAAAAAGATCATTAAAAAGATCTTGGAATCTTATAAAGGATTAATAATTATAAAAAAAATTCAAACAGTAATCTACATAAGCTCTAATACAATTAGTTACACAGTCAGTTACATGAAGGGACCTAATACGGAGTCATACAGAATGCACGTGTGAAATAGAAATCCGTATTGGGCGAGGCGAAGCCGAGTCCCAATACGGATTTCCATTTCACACCCTGTATGACTCCGAATTAGGTCCCTTACTGACTGTGTTTCGAATTTATTTCGCTGAAGACCTTTTAAAATATTCAAAAATTTATGTGCATATTATGAAAATATCAAGTTTTAATCCAATAACAATCAACATAAAAATATCGTACATGTAACAAGAAATTTAACTAAACTACCTACGCAAACTATTTGAGAATTTTTGAACATTTGAACATTTTATTTCACTTTAGGGCCTCACATGAGGCATAAAAGTACAAACAAGAAATAAATCAACAATGATAATGTAACAAATGAACAATGGATTAACATATATACAATATTAGTTTTGAAGTACTTAAGGGAATTCAAGAGTGAAATAAAGACATTACAATATCACAAAATTTATTAAGGTAAATTTATCATCACTATTAAATAAATTGAAAAAAAAACTGTCGATATTTTTCACTTTGTAAACATTTTCAGGTATATATTTTCTTCTTTCATCATTGAAAAAATTGCAATTAAAAATATCATGAAATTCATCTCCAATTTCTCCCACACCATAGCTACAGAGATCATATAATCTTTCTGCTCTATCTATATTTAAAAACCTTCCACGTTCAATGGGTAAATTGTGATTACATGTAACACATCGAAATTTGCTTCAACTATAAATAAGATCATAGGGTAACAAAGAAAAATATTTTTCTAGACCAAAGTTTGTTTTATAGATCCTACAATTAATACATTTAGGAGAATTAAAAATACAATATGCATGGGACTGAAAATCAGTCAAATTATTTAGAAATAATAAAAACAAAAGTAAGATAGGTTATCACCTTGTCTAACACCGACATTACACATAAAAAACACAGAGCATTTCGTACTATTTCTTACACAAGATTTGGCATATTTATGTAAGTTCTTCAAAACATTTAGCATTTTACCATTAATATCGCTGCGCAGGAGCTTCTGCCAAAGTAAAGTTCTATAAACTGAGTCAAAGGCTTTTTTATAGTCAATCAATGCACAATATATTTTTTTTAATTCCTGGCCAAATACAAGTCAATAAATTGAGACACTTCAACTCAAGTTAAAAATATGACCTACAGTTCTATTTCCGAAAACCTGTCTGCTCTTCGCAAAAAATACCAGAATTTTCCAAATAAAAGGAAAGCCTATTATTCACAGTTTTTAACAGTTTCCCGAAACAACTCAGTATATTAGTTATTCCTCTATAATTGTCTGGGTTTGCACGATCTCCTTTATTTTTAAAGACTATACATATAATTCCCTTTGCTTTGCCATTTTTCAATGATTTGACAGCATAAAAACCTCTTTTTCAGTCATATTTTATTTAATTACTGAATTATATCGCAAATCAAAATCGAAATCTACTTAGAATTGTTTAGTTCCTTAAAGTGTTCATAAAAGGTGTCTAAAGCTACAGCATTAATAATACCTTTACCACTCTCACAATTTTTATTTAAATGGGACCAATATGCAAAATTTTAAGGCGTCATGTGATTAGCTTTTATCCAATCAGCAATCTACAAATAAGTCTGAAGCGGGATAATGTGTTTGCTGCCTATTTGATGGGTTCAGAAATAGTGCCAATAACTAAGTTTCCAATGGATATCCACTGTCGTAAAACACGGACGTCTGGAAATTCCAGAGGTGGAATTAGGTGGAGTAAGCATCCTTTGTTGAACGATCACATGAGCCGTCATGAGTCCTTTGTATGATCAGGTAGACAAAACATTACAGAACTCAGTAACTGTGTGCAAGTAATATCTCCTTACTTATTTAACCTTTGTGTAGAAATTTTAGGACATATGATACGACAAAATAAAAATATCAAAGGCATTAAAATAGGGAAGGAAAAAGTCTGTCTACTACAATATGCAGATGACACAGTTCTTTTTTTGGATGGATCAGAAAAGAGTTTAAAAAGTGCACTTGATCTTCTTTTTCAATTCTCAAAATTCTCTGGATTAAAGCCTAATATTTCAAAAACAAAAGCAGTCTGGATTGGATCTAAAATTAAAACAGAAAATACTTTATGTAGTGATACAGGATTAAAATGGACAAATGAACCATTTACTGTTCTAGGCATAACATACACTGCAAATCTTGAAAAGATGGAAGAGCTTAATTTTGATAATAAATTTAAACTTATTCAGAAAGAAATAAATCATTGGTCTAAAAGAAATATTTCATCTTTAGGAAAAATAACGGTAGTAAAAAGTTTGCTTTTATTAAAGTTTACACACTTATTTATTTGTCTTCCGAAACCAAGTGTGCAGTGGATACAGCAACTAGAAAAAACTCTGTATAAATTCATATGGGGAAATAAAATTGACAAAATATCCCGAAAAACGTTACAGTTAGACTTTGAGAGAGGTGGATGTAGAATGACTAATATAGAAACATTTATTAAATCCCTAAAATTAACATGGATTAGAAGAATATTTACAAATAATTCAAACTGGATAAACATTTTTTCTGAAATTACTGGTTGTAATATTAATAAACTTTGTCAGGTTGGATCTGAATATTGTAAACAAAGGGCAAAAATCATACAAAATATTTTTTGGAAAGAAACTTTGCTTTATTTTGCTGAATTTTTAGAAAGTTTTAATTTTCATGATGTAGATATATTGTTAGAACCATTGTGGTATAATAATAAGATAAAGATTCAAAATAAATGTGTATTTTATAAGACATTGTATGAAAAAGGGTTCCATGTAGTACATGATTTATTTGATACAGAAGGCAATTTTATTAGTTATGAAAGTATCACAAATGATTATTTAGTTAAGTTGCCATTCACTACTTATGAGGGACTAAAGCAAGCAGTTTTATACTCATGGCCAAATGTCAAACAATTGTCAGAAACTACTTATGGTAAACCATACCAACCTGAATTTTTAAAAATACTTTGTCAGAATAAAAAAGGATCCAGAAATATTTATGATCATTTAATGTCTAAAATACAGCACAGACCTATTTGTGAAAACAAATGGGCTATTGATTTAAAGTTGGAATCTGATTTTAAGTGGAAACATATTTATACAAACTTGAAATACTTAACTAAAGATTCAGCACTGATATGGTTCAATTATAGAATTATTCATAGAATTTTAGGTACAAATAAATACTTACACTTGTCTAAAATTAAAGATTCTCCACTTTGTTCAATATGTGAACAAGAACCAGAAACAATTAAACATTTATTTTTTTATTGTCCACAAGTTTCTGTGGTTTGGCTGGCACTGTCAGATTGGATTTTTCAAAAGTCTGGTAAAAGAATTGAATTTGATGTAAAGACTGTTATTTTTGGTAGTTTTGAAAAAGATCATGTAGCTATAAACTTGATTATTCTGTTAGTGAAGAAATATTTATTTCAGCAATCCAGAAACAACTCTTGTATTGTTTTCAAAGATATTTTGAGAGTTCTATATAATTACTATACTTTAGAAGAAAAGCTGTCAGAAAATATTTTTTATAAAAAAAGATGGTCCAATTGGAAATGTCTATTTAATGTGTCAAATTTTGAAAATGTTCTTGACTAATTATTGTTAATATACTTAGTGTCTTCTTTTCCAACATGTATGAAAGGATGTGTGAAAGGTTTTGTATATTTGTGTGTTTGTTATGAAAATAAATTTAAAAAAAAAAAAAAAAAAAAAAAAATGATGTGCAAGTAAATTTTCTCCTTGATCTTTTAATTTCCTTTGGTGCAAATGTTAAAGCAAGAAACAATCGAGGATTATCTACCTTTGATGGTGCTAAATCTTATTTGAAAGATCCAGGAATTGAACTTTTCTTGTTAAGAAAACTTGTAGGCGCTGGACTTTGGATTCAAGATTTTTCACCTGACACAGTTTTAACATCTGCCTGTATTACAAAGTACACCTGGTCACTGTATGTACAAGGACTATCTAATTTGCAGGAACAGCAAATGACACTCAAGCAGCAATGCAAAAATGCTGTGCGAAAAGACCTTCACTTAACTAGTGGCAAAACAATGAAGCAGTCTATTGAATGTTTACCTCTGCCAACTGACTTGAAAAAGTTTTTGCAATGATGTTACTGGATATGCAAAAAGTAGAGAACACAAATTGAACTATAGAACAAAATGATTATTATATTTGTTTGGCATTGATTTCCCATGTGTTCATTTTTCCAGGTGTGTTAATTACATGAACAATTATTGTATTACAGTAGATGTACTAAGTGTTATCATTTTTGTGTACTTTTTATAGAAATAGTTTTTGTGTGTAAATTTATATGGGGGAATACCGGTAATAAAAGTTTCTTGCAGTAAGTCAAAAAAAAAAAAAAAAAAAAAAAAAAGTAATTAGTGGGGTCTATGTTTAAATGTCCTCTAAGTTTTCTTTCTCGCAACTTGAATGCAAGTCACAATGAAACACTGTCTTCAGCAAAATTTCATGATAAACTTAGGACAAAATAGGAACCTGCTTAACATTAATCACATACGACGCACCAAGAATACTTAATGGTTGAGAATTTTATGCAATATGCGAAGAAAAACCCTAAAAAAAATTTCAATTTGCTAAGCTGGAAAATAGTATTTGAGTATATGCTTAAAGGCTTAAGAATTCTTAACGCATATGGCACCTAAATTTTCTATCCTTAAGACACCTTGTTCTTCAGATACTTGAATAATATCAATGATATAAATTAACAAAATATCTTTGCATAAATTCTACAACTTGACAAACATTATATGAGGATTATAAAACTAGCCCCCTAATGGTAAGTGTTATCTACATGTAGTTACTAGAATCATAAACTTAAAAAGATCAATACATGTATTCCGTTAAAAATCTCACAGCCAAGCGGAATGCAAACCTTTTCTAAATCGTTACTTATCAAAGTACTCACATACACAAAATATCAGATCATTTAATCAATTTTTAATCATTTTAATTTTAAAAAGTATTGAAAACCAAGTGGAACCGAATGATAGACAGACAGAAGGAACGAGGAGAAAACCTATACATGTTGTCACCTCCGGTTTCATTAGTAAGGGACTAATGAGCAAGTTCTCTGTTAACGCTTTCGTATTGGTGGTCTGTTTCTTGGAATGTGACTTGAACACTCTCATAGGTCTCCTTTACTCTTCTTTCTCGGTCTCTATAAAATGAATACTGTGTCATCAGGAATCCACTTGTATATCTTTACGTGATACTTCAAATATACACTATATATATAATTCTATAGTATTTGAAAAAAAATTGAAGTACCTTCTTCGTTTTACCAGGAATATAAAAAGCAGGACAGCAAACGTGATTACAAGAAGAACTCCAAGGACGGAAACAGCAATTATATAGGGTTTTGTTTGAGTGTCATCAGTTGATTGTGTGATCCCTACAGATAGAGAAATATTTTAGTGAATCATTCATTTTAAAATATACATTTTATATGGGAAAAAGGCTATTAAGAAAAAATTGAGCTACAAACTTTTAGTGCATACACTTGGTTAAACAACAAGTTAATTCAGAGAATTTGTGTCCCCCGCTTAGGGAAAAAGTAAACCATGCGCAGTTCGCGGGGAGGGGGGGGGGTCGGATCCCCCTGACTGAATTTGTAGAATTATTAAATGTATACTGAAGCAAATAAAATATGCCAATATGGATATAAAGATTTGATTGCTTATTCTTTATTATGTGTATAGAAAATTCTGATATATGGAATATTTATCACACTGTAATGATGATTTTATGAGTTTATACAAGCCAGACCTCATAAATTTTTCATTTTACATGCTGAATACTATCATTTAGTAGAAAAAAAAGTATTTCGGAAAAAAAAGAACATGAACCATCCAGGATTCGAACCCGGTGCCTCTCACATGTGAAGCGAGAGACATACACTGTACCACGGAACCGCTTACGCTCAGCGATAATTATTTGCAAACATGAAGTCACATACATGTATATATATTCACGTTCGATATTGTCAAAATTTTACACAATGCATGGTGTCTAATTTAGCCTTTATTAAACCACAGGAGTCTGAAGTTTAAATCGTAAAAAAAAAAAAAAATAAAATAAAAAAAAATTCCGGAAAAAAATTTTCCTACCCTTAACTAAAAAAAACCCCAGGATGGCAACGTGTTTTGGAGGGACCCACCTAAACAAATAGATCTGGGCTTGGTCGGAAAAATCTCGCAACTAATTCAGTATCCGGAGTGTTTGTGCTATTTATTCAAGTTAAGAAATCAAATCTGCTTGACGACTACGGGCTCTTCATGGCCTTTTTTCCAGTTTGACAGCTCATCCTGGACTCCATGCCACTAAACCGGAAGTGAACTTCGAGGTGAATATATGACGTAATTGAAGAAAAGAACCAAAAAATGCATGTAAAACTTCATGTACAATTTTATGTTACCATACGTGATCAATAAAAAGATATATTTTTCAAACAAAATAATGCTTTATAAGGGCGCTTAGTCTAACTGTTTGGCTCTTTGTCGACATGGCTTTTCAGTGATTTAAATTTGGCGCTTGTATAAACTGAATTATCTGTCCCTGGTACACATCGTCGTAAAAGTAATAAAAAGAATAAATAACTTTTTAAAGTTCTCTTAAATATATTTAAAATAACTGAATAAAATTACGTTGAACAATTATTTATTTTATTTCATTTGAACAAGTTTTTATAAACGTCAAATATACACTGCGAGATTCTCTTCCGGTTTAGTGGCATGGAGTCCAGGATGAGCTGTCAAAGTGGAAAAAGGGCTAGGAACGGCCCGTAGTCGTCAAGCAGATTTGATTTCTTAACTTGAATAAATAGCACAAACACTCCGGATACTGAATTAGTTGCGAGATTTTTCCGACCAAGCCCAGATCTATTTGTTTAGGTGGGTCCCCCCAAAACACGTTGCCATCCTGGGTTTTTTTTAGTTAAGGGTAGGAAAATTTTTTTCCGAATTTTTTTTTTTTTTTTTTTTTTTTTTTTGACGATAAAAACTTCAGACTCCTGTGATTAAACAGTTCTAATAGTTGTAACAAGTATTAGCTTTCCTAAAAAGCTTGTCTGACGTGGTTTGCTTAAATTCATAAAGAGGAAAGAAATAATATACATGTATTTCTTTTATAATTTCTTGCGTTCGATAATATATATCTTTCAAAGACCATGCCTAAACAATATTGTTTACAAAGAAAATTAGATTTAAGCTAATGGCTCAAGGATTAGACTTGCGTCAAATTTTTACTTGACGATAAAATTTTATTAATTATAGAATTGATTTCTTTTAATTTGCACATAACAACACCTCTGTGAAACAATATTAAAAATATTTTAATTTTGGTCTGCTTGACGTCTTATTTCTTCCACTTCAATTTATTATATAATAAAGATTTTAACTTTTAGCTTAAGATGTTTAAAGATCCCGGGGACTGCATTTTTCAAATAATGTTTTTATGTTAAATAATCTAACTGATTTTTTTATTCAACAAACAAAATAAAATGAAGGATGTAAATGAAATCAATGGGAAGATATTTGATCACTTAATGGGCGCATATTTAAACAGCGATAACAATCTAGGCAGAGTGTTACACATGCTGACCATTCCCCTGCTGTTCTTGAGAGCTTTCATTGCTTCTCAAACCATTTGATGTACAATGAATCTCTATTTAACACCGTTACAAAATTGATGGATGAAATTCTAAAGTATCTATAGGAAAGGAAACAAGAAGATGCAAGCTTATTTACAATGTAATCGTCCGAAATATTGTCGTTGGATAGGAGTAAATTATTAACATGTACTTCAGCCAACATGCAAATCTATTTACACAAAGAATTAAACTTGAATGAGACTTTTTTTTCTTTTTTCACTGCATTTTTCTCAGGCACTGTATTAAACAGTTTTTACAATATGGGAGCAGGGCAACGAAGAGAAAATATTTGACTATGTGCCTGATGTTTATAGGCCCATGTAAATCAATATGTCAAAGGTATCCTTTTACTGAAAATAAGCAATCAAATAATTAATCATACAATGTAAAAATGATTTATTCTCTGATCAACAACACAAAAATAACAGTGAGCTCTATATAATAGGGCATTTTTTTTTAAGAGAACAGAAGCGGACATGTTCGAAGATGAAAGCACGGATTATACTAAAGACAAAATCACCCAGTAATGTAAATAAAAGATTAAAAACTCATTTCCTCCTGGGCCGAACTAAAAGCGTCTTTGGAGATTATGCATGTATCGAAATTTCCACCATCGAACTATCTAAACAAATTCATCGAACGACTGCATAAATAAGCCCTGGTTAAATCTAGTACTGTCTGACGCCGTGACGTCAGACAATAAGAATATCAAGTCCGGCCGCCGAGAACCTGTTTTATGCGTAATAACTCTCCTCATGCCCCAGTGCTAAAAATAGTTCGGGGGGGGGGGGGGGTCGGACCCCCTTAATTGAATTTGTAGAATTATTAAATGTATACATGTATACTGAAGCAAATAAAATACGCCAATATGGATATAAAGGTTTGATTGCTTATTCTTTATTACATTGTATGTGTATAGAAGATTCTTTTTATAGGGAATATTTATCACACTGTAATGATGATTTTATGAGTTTGTGCAAGCCAGACCTCATAAATTTTTCTTTTCACATGAATACTATAATTTAGTAAAAAAAAAAGTATTTCGAAAAAAAAAACCATCGCCCGGGATGCGAACCCGGGCCATCTCACGTGTGAAGCGAGGGACATACCACTAGACCACGGAGCCGCTTTAAACTCCTGGAAATTATATGCAAAGATGAAGTCACATACATGTATATATTCACGTTCGATATTGTCAAAATTTTACACAATGCATGATATCTAATTTAACCTTTATTAAACAGTTCTAATAGATGTAATAAGAATATAAAGTTCACCAAGAACCTGTTTTATACGTAATAACTCTCCCCATGCCCCTGTGCTAAAAATAGCGACATGTAATACAATAAATACTAATAAAACAAACGGGGGACACTTTGAGGGGTGAGAGAGGTCCTAGGGAGTTTTGGTATAAAATTACATTTCAAAAGCTCAAAATCTTCTTGAAATATTGCTTGGAAATGATAGTGTTTCATAAAGACAGAATGTATAAATAAACGACCTTGAACTTTGAGGTTGTTGTTATGTAAAATTTCATTGCAAAAGCTCAGAGTTGTCGAGATATCGCGCGGAAGCGAAAGTGTTATAAAAGACAGAATTTGCGAATTTATGACCTTAACCTTTGACCTTTTGACCTCAAAATCAATAGGGTTCTTCTTTAGTCCATAGGGAGTTACTATGCAAAATTTCATTGCAAAAGCTCAAAGGGTTCTTGAGATATCGTGTGGAAACGAAAGCGTTACAGACAGACAGAAAGACGGACGGACGGACGGACAGACCCAAATTATATCCCCCACTTTTCAAGCGGGGGACAACAAATTATACATGTAATGCATTTGCGTTCTATTTATAATTTTGTTTTCTCGTTACCAGGCTTGGAATATTATCAAATCCTTAGAAATGAAACAACGATTTATCTATAATCATGCATAGATATTATATTGTTAAAAAGTTAAAATGAAGTGTGAAATGCACGGTAAAAGGACAATTTTGTGGTTATATGTATTTCGACTGTACATAATATAGAGAACAATTTCAGCTGATTGTGCATGTACCTACTCTTATTTCAGTTAGATTAAGACGAATTTTGAATTTTACAAATATAAACAAAAACTGTATTGATAGCATTGTCTTTTCTATTTTCTTTTTTCATTAATTATTTATTGTGTCAAACTTACTTTTCCAACAATTTTCTCCTGTAAAACCTTCTTGACAGCCTTGAAGACATTCACCACCCATATCACAAACTGATCCAACACAGGTTATACTACATTCCGTATCACATTGGGTCCCATAAAACCCTTCCTTACATTTTGTACAATTTCCAAACCTTTGATCACATATTCGACAGTTTTCTACGGGACAGGATACATTACAGAAATCACCGTAAAATGAACTTTTACATCCATCTACACACTCTCCATTAAATCCACATTCGTCCTTACAGTTTACATTACATTGACATGCCCTGCCTGACCAGCCCTCGTTACAGGAGGTACAGTAATCTGAAGCATTACAGGTCAGACAATTTGGAGGACAAGAGAACTCACAGGAGCTTCCATAGAATCCAGGTTTACAGGAGAGACAGGAGTCCCGTGAAGTACAGTTATAACAATTTTTATAATAGCAAGGCCAACAATATTGTCCATAATATCCTGGTGAACACTGGGTACAGTTGTGGTAATCATAACAATGATCACAATTTGTTATGCATTCAGTTAAACATCCTTTCCCATACTTTCTATTATTACAACCGTATGTACAAATCCCATCCATGTTACACAAGTTATTAATGCAATTTCTACTGCAATCCTCGCACAAATCTCCAGTAAACATAGGTTTACATCGGGTACATTTCGAATCACTGTCACAAGACAAGCAATTAGATGAACATTTCTGGCATTTGTTTTCTGTGTCTAGATAGTAACCTTCATCACATTTCTTACACAAAACAGCTGAACCAGATGTAATGCATTCTGTACAATATTTTTTGGAACATTTCATACTACAATTCGGACCTATCCACCCTTCATTACAGCCATCGATACATTCCCCATCCCTCAGACACGTATCTGATATGCAATTCTTACTGCAGAGCTGTGTACAATTTTCACCATATCTCCCAGCAATACATTCATCACAACGACCGTTATTTTTATCGCAATTTTTTTCCCCGCCACACGTTTGTGGGCATTGCAATTCACATTTCTGCCCATACATTCCATCAACACAAGATGAACACTGACCATCTGAAATGCATGTGGTACATTTTTTACTGCAAAGTGTTTCGCATTTAGGGCCGAAAAATCCATCTTTACACCCCCCTGAACATTGACCAGACTCATCACATTTATCATCTTTGCAATTCTCTGGACAGGAAATGCTACAATTTCGTCCATAAAAACCAAGATTACAATTCCGACATCCAGTTAACATGTCACAATCATCTGGGTTACAGTTGATGCATTTCAAACTACAATTTTTACCGTAAGTGCCTGCAATGCACACACAACTGCGTCCATTTACGTCATCATAACATGTTGAACAAAATTCGGACATTCTTTGTCACACTTATCCCCATACCAACCAGATCTACAACCCAATAGACAGTCTCCTGTAAATCCATCACATTGGTTGTTCAAGCAGTTTGCACATATTTTGTCACATAAGTATCCATATGTACCACGACTACATTCTGTAAATAAAATATGAATGCATAAAATGTTTTAATCCGTTTTTGTTTAAAAAAAACAGGTGGCTGCTTCAAAAGGAATTTGATACCCGGATACATTTCTTAAATTTTTAACTACCCCGGGTTGTTAAAGATAGTGGTTTGTTTGGCAGTGGAATAACTTATATTAAAAAATGGTCGCTATCACAATTTACTTTTCTTAAGAACTTGATATCACCTCTGGCATTTCCAGAGGTCTATATTTAAACCCTGCTTACAGATTCGTATTGTTTTGGGTTTTTATTAAATCGATAACTGTTATATTTTTTACTGTTTTTCACTGCAATATAAATACTACAGAGCACATTTCTAATCCTGGTGACCTTTAAAAAAAATTTTAAAACGTTTTTAATGTTCATATTTATATTCCTACAAATAACCATAACCCCATTTTTGGCCTCACTCTAGTAAGGGGTGATTTAATTTATTCAATTATAAATCGATTTTAATTTGAATAAGTTGTCCTTCTACTCTTTATTTTTGATCATTTATTCCAATATAAAACCGGAAGTCAAACCTTAGCTCACTGATCATGACAAATCGTTGCTAATCAAAATCAAATTGAAAATGAGGGCTTAAACTAATATTTTATTTTTATTGAAATGTCGGGGGGGGGGGTATATTGTTTTTGTCGTCTGTCTGTCTATTTGTCCGCAAAAAATTGACCTTGTCCATGACATTTAAGAAGGTCGGTCTATAGTTTATTTATTTCACAAGTGTAGATCTTTTCTCTTCGGATTCCAACAAATTTGACCTCTTTATCCTGACCTTGGAGTTCGACCAACTTTTGCAAAAAATACCAAACTTTAACCTTCGCCATAACGCCTTAAGAGTTCATGGTTCTAGAACGTTCATACTTCACGTGTATTCAGTGTAACAACACCTTTCAAAGGGTGTAAACATAATTTAAATCGCAATGTTCTTGAAATTTGCAGAAAACATGCGTATTTGACTACCTTCAGCAAAAAATTAAAATAAGAGCACAGCCTAGGTCAAAAATATAAACATGCTTTTTGATCTTCAGAAACAGATCTTTTATTATGTATTTGCATATTTTGGATCAGAGGTTGTGCTCTATATGAAATATTGAAAAAAAAAAGTACTTTAACTTTAGGCCATTTTCAAAGGAATGTACAGGATATGAGGAAATTGATGCGCATTTAATGACGTCATAATGCATTGACTCGAGGGAAAATAATGTCATGATAAGTAGATACGTGGTTACCAACACTTCAAGTGATAAACACTGCATTTGCAACCTATAAAGAGATCAGTCTTGATTTTTCAGAAATTCTCAGGGCAAAATAAGGTACAAAGTGGCTCTTGCTCTAAGGCAAACATGTACTTTGAAGAAAATAACCTTGGTCATAACCTTTGAACAGTTGATGCTAGGTCATTTATAATTCATTTGTCTACTCTTATACCAAGGATCTTCCCTGGGTACTCAAGGAAAGGTCCTGTCACAAGAGATACACCTGTGAAATATGACAGCCATAGTTCCATCCAGTCAAAAGTTATTGGCAAGGTTAAGTTTTTGAGGCCAAACAGACAAACAGCTAGACAGACAGACGGACGAACACGATAAAATTAAATACCTCCGAAACTTCGTTTATGGGGGCATAAAAAATTACAATTCTCAATAAAGCTTTTATTTAAAAATTAGTAAACTATGGAAGGAAGTCGATGTACAAGCACATGTATTTTATGGAATTTCGGCTATCACTTACACTTTTGAAAACTAACATGACGTATTAACAGTATTATCTTCTCTAACTTTTCCTGCGAGATAATTTGCACTGAAACTCATTCCTATGAATCCAGTAAAATGCTATCTTCATAACATTGATAATCAACGATATTATTATACCTTCAGGTTAAATACTAAAATCTGATTGGTTTAGACGCAGTTAACAATCCGTTCTATTAGCAACACACGTGACAACGGGTAACACAACGGTAATGTCATATGCGTGGAAATTATGCGCGTACGGTTCACCGTAGAATTCTTAAAACGTCAATAAAAGCTTGCGTCCGATGTAGCTTTCTTGAAAATGTTACAAACGACAGACGAAACATGCTTGCGAATGCAGAAATAACGAAACTTTATATGATAAAGGACTCTTACACTATCAGACAATTAAGAGGTCAGTTAACCTTTTTCGCAGTAGCGGGGATAGGCCGGAGTTTTAAAGCTTTCTAAACTTGAACGTAAAGACGATCGACGATTTTTTTTTTGCTGACATCCTAAATCAATAAGACATTCAGCATAATAAAATAAATGGTGCATGTTTTGGAGGGTAACAGTTGAAATTGACACCCCTCGGAAAACCATTGCTGACGCGTCGGTTGACAATGGTTTTCCTTGGGGTGTCAATTTCAACTCTTACCCTCCAAAACATGCACCACTTATATAATAGAACAACTTGCAAAATGGTTGTACATACCAAAAACCTTTACTTCATAAATCACTAAACTCCCCCAGTCGGTGCTCTTGTAGATAACGATTTCATTTCCAGTCATTACATTAGCACAGGTAATATTAATTTCAGTATGATATCCTGGAGTTGACGTAATAGTTCCACATAAGTTAACATCTTGTAACCAGGTTTGAGTTGAGTTTATCACATACACTTCATGTAGCGTTTCTACATTACCTGTAAAATAAATGTAAAAATATATATATAAACAAGAAATGGATTTTCAAAAAAGCCTGCCTAACTAAAGCAAACAATATCTATGGAACTTATTAGCAAGCGATGTGCCAAACGTTTCCGCCAGCAAGGTGCGACATTGTTGCGTTACTTCATTATATAAGATACAGGGTGTTTTCACAATATATGTCACACATCTAAATGGGCATAATCTGAATATCGAGCATGATACCAAAAATACCAAAAACACTAGGTAAGCGTATTGTTATAAAATTATGATATTGCAAAGTATTGGTGAAATTCTGATATACCATGAAGTAACTGATGATATAATCAGTGATGGCGTAATTTCAGCTGTTCTCAATATGAGTACAACTTGAAGCAAAAATCTGTAGTAAACTTTTATTATAAGAACGATATACTTAATATTGTACAGGGTGTGAAAAAATATCCAGTCCAAAAACTGCTGTCTAGTTTACATATATTTAAAAGAATAATTAGAGGGTTTAAACTAAATTATAAAAGATGAAAGACAGTGAATTCCTGCCTTCTACCCCCCCCCCCCCCCACATGTGTATTAAGCGTATTTAGAAATCTTAAATTTGAGTTAAGTGTGTCTGCATACAAGATTCCAGTTAAAGTTTGCAAGATGGATTTAAAGGAAGAGCGAAAGGAGTGGACACCAATTAACACCTACTGGTAGTTCCGAAACGACACATTTATTATACCCCCCGCTTGAAAAGTGGAACGGTATGTCCGTCCGTCTGTACGTCTGTCCGTCCGTCTGTTACGTTTTGGGGTACCTGATCTCTTATCCGCAACTCCTCTCATACCACTGAAGGAAATTTAATGAAACTTTCACAGAATCTTTATTACATATTGCCATAATTTGTGCACCTCCTATTTTACTTTTTGATCTGACATATTTTGGATTTTCCAGAGGAAAACATGGATACTGCCATTATATTCATATTGGAGGCGGTGGTATCATTTAGTGAGTTCACTGCTCATAGTACATCTAGTTTAAATGCAACATTAGATAAAAAAAAAAAAGATATACACTTTGGGGGTTCTAAAAAGCAAGATAAAAAAAAACAAGAAATATCCTAGGAAACCTACAAAACAGTTGTCCTACAGAAATTTCTAAACATCAGTCTCTTTGGTTATTATACCTTGAAAAGTAGATTAAAATATCAAATAACACAATATAGATATCCTCTATATATACTCATATGGGAGGCGGGGTATTATTTAGTGAGCTCATTGCTCACAGTACCTCTAGTTTAATGTTGGGAAAACACTTCAAGATTAACATGATAGGATTTGTTGCCATAGTAACTGAAGTGGAGAATGTTGGATACTTCTGACTGATAAAAATAATTTTGAAAATATGTCTTTAGATTTGTGACATATATTGCGAAACACCCTGTATTAGCTGCAGAACTGTAGCTCTCTGCTTGAGAAAATTCGGACAGATAAGTCAGAGAGCTACAGATCCAAGCGTTGTAAAAACTTTCGATTTACGCCGACATTGTACATGGCACATACCGGATACCAGATTTTTATTGTTTGATTGGTACTTGTTTCTAGACTTGGGGTGGGGTGGGGTTCAGGTATATTTGTATCTTACGTTATTTGAGCGAAAATGAATGTGATGCCTTTCTTCCGTGAAAAGTATTTATATGTACACCATCATTAAAATAACATCATTCATGTGAACAAATTAGGACTTAGCAAAAACAACTGCGGTGAGCCCGTTGTTCGGCATCTGAAGATATAAATTAACATTTTGCAATATAATTCACCTTGTCTCATATTCTGTTTCACGCACGCGTTGTAATCTCCTCAAAATGTTGAAACCTTTCAATAATAATTCTTTGATCATTTTTTTCTTCATAATTGACAAACTTCCTTTTCTATAAGATGAACGTCTCCTTTAATTATCATAGCAAATTGACGCTGCTAGAATTGTTTCAAATCCCCGCCCCCTCCCCTCTACACAGTTTTTATACTAAGTGCATGAAAAGATAATCTCACCTATTTCTCCAATTTCCATAAAAATGTATTTCACTCTTTTTAAATTTGAAAACGTTAATTGAAGCTGGGGATTCTTCTGAGCTTTAGTTATTGAAGATGTATCCTTTTCTCCGTCAACTGCATACACGACATATCGTGTATCAAATGTTGATGACTGAACTATTTTTCTGAGCTTGTAGACTATGTTTTCTGAAAGAATAAAAATACATGTAACTTGATAATAAATCTTGGTTTAGTTTGTTGTCCCCCACTTGAAAAGTGGGGGATATTAATTTGGGTCTGTCCGTCCGTCATTCTGTCTGTCTGTAACGCTTTCGTTTCCACACGATATTTCGAGAACCCTTTAAGTTTTCGCAATGAAATTTTGCAAAGCAACTCCTTATGGACTAGAGAAGAACCCTATTGATTTTGAGGTCAAAAGGTCAAAGGTCAAGGTCATAAATTCGCAAATTCTGTCTGTTATAACACTTTTGTTTCCGCGCGACATCTCGAGAACCCATTGAGCTTTTGCAATGAAATTTTACATAACAACTCCCTGTGGCCTAAGGAAGACCCCTATTGATTTTGAGGTCAAAAGGTCAAAGTTCTGGGTCGTAAATTTATATACATTACATGTATGTCTGTGTGTAACACTATCCTTTCAGGGCGATATTTCAAGAGAAGTTTGAGCTTTTGCAATATAATTTTATACCAAAACACCCTAGGACCCCTCTCACCCCTCTCAAAGTGTCCCGTCCCGATTGTTGTATTAGTATTTATTGTATTTTTAGCACAGGGGCATGAGGAGAATTATTACGTATAAAACAGGTTCTAGGCGGACTTTATATTCTTGTACATTTATTAGAACTGTTTGATAAAGGTTAGATTAGACACCATGCATTGTGTAAAATTTTGACAATATCGATCGTGAATATATACATGTATGTGACTTCATATCTGCATATAATTTTCATCGGTACAAAGCGGTTCCGTAGTGTAGTTGTATGTCTCTCGCTTCAGATGGGAGAGGTACCGGGTTCGATTCCCGCACGACCTTTTTTTTTCTCCCAAAATGCTTTTCTTTTTACTAAATGATAGTATTCAGCAAGTGAAATGAAAAATTATGAGGTCTAGCTTGTACAAACTCATAAAATCATCATTTCATTGTTATAAATATTCCATATATAAGAAGAATCTTCTATACACATAATTAAGAATAAGCAATCAAATCTTTATATCCATACTGACATATTTTATTTACTAGTACTTCAGTATACATGTATACATTTAATAATTCTACAATTTCAGTCTGGGGGATCGGCCCCCTCCCTCCCCCCGAACTGCGTATGGTTTACTTTTTCCTTAAGCGGGGGACACAAATTCTCTGAATTAGCTTGTTATGTTTAAGAACAAAATATTGGTTTTGTATCAAATGCGTTTTTGCTAAATGAATAAGATGGTGTCTTAAGACAGTAATACCCACAATAAGGTAATTGCTTTTAAAAACACACTCTTTTATTATTGAGTTACCAAGGTAAAAGCCAGAGTAATTCTCTTATTTACAAAGTACATTTTTGTCAAACCAAGCATAAAATGCTCGGGTGTACAATCATGTGACCCATGAGGAAAGTCAAAACTATGAATCCGGATAGGGCCATGCTGTTCACTACCACACCATCGGGCATAGACCTAAGGGTACAATTTTAGATGGCAGAATAACGATGTAGCGATAGCGCAATTCACGATGATGCAATGGCGCGACAATGCGATGACGATGGTAGCGGTTGGGCTTTATTGTGCCCTAAATATTAGATGCTCTTAAAAAGTTATGAAATTGCAGAGTTGAATGGATGAATATGATAAATCATTAAAGAATATGGCATGAAGGAGGACCGCTCTGGAAGTATGACATCATTAATTTTGTACATTTCTAAGTTGATTGCAGAAAAGCCTCAGAATGACTCATTTCTGTGCTTATATTCTTTTAGAGAACAGTGTTTGCCACCGTCGCTCATTTCAGTTTTTGGATATATTTTGTAAATTGCTTTGAAAAACCACATATCTTAAAATCTTTGTAGGAGATGGTGTCAGAGTATGTTTTCTGAAAGAAAATTCCAAAAGAAAAATAAAAAATTGATGTCTTCTTCATCTTTTTAAAGAAAATACGGGAAAATGCACAAATTAATGACGCCACAATTAGCATTTAGGAGGTCATATGAGAAAAACGATTTGTGTATTCTTAATACATGGAATTCCTATGAATCAGAAAGAATGAATTCTAATTTCTTATTAATTACTTTCATATTTTAAAATGACATGTTTTAAAAATCTTTTCAAGAACTACTGTGCCTGAAAAGATTTAATTTATGGGGAACATGCAAAAATACATAGGAAAAAGCTTTCAAAATCTTTTTCGAAAGAAGAACAAATCTACGATTCGTCATATTTGTATGGAAGCACCCCCGAACATGTTTGTTCGAATAATGACCCCCCCCCCCCCTTCAATGTAGGGCAGGGCAACAATTGACTAGAAAATATTTACAAACGAATATATAGGAAATTTATTAAAAAATCTTTTTCTCAAGAACAGGAAAGCCATGATTATGTATACATACATAACATTTATGTGGAAGCGTCCTCAGTTAGTGTAGATTTAGATTTATTCAAATCATGGTCGGGCTGGGGGCGCTGGGGGTAGGGTGAGACGGCATTGTAAGTTCAAATTTAAAGGGTAAAAAGCCACAGTAGTCAAAGAAATATGCAAGCATCATTAGTTACTGAGTAATGTACATGTACAAACATGCTGATTCAAGTTTGTTAAAACCATACCTCCCTTTCCCTTTAAGGATAAGTTGGGTGGGACACCTATAAATTTAAACTTTTCAAAACTCTGTTTTTATAACCAGTTAATCGACGATTAGTTGAATACATAGTTATTGTCCGTCTGTCTGTCTATTTGTTTATTAATCTTTTTGTCAGCAAAACCTTGAACCTTGCCAATAACATTAGAGTGTGTGGGGCTATAGCTTTGATATTTCACAGCTGTATTACTTCGTGACCTTGACTTTGGAGTTTGACCCATTTTTACCAAATATTTCCGAACTTAAACCTTAGCCGTAACTTTTGATTAATTGGTGCTAGGGATTTCATTCTTCACATATGTATTCATGGTGACAAGGCCATTCAGTGGATGTAAAAATATTTGACCTATTGACCTTGACTTTAGATTTAACCTGGATCATAACTTTTGAGCAGTTAGCACTAAGGCTTTCACATTTCACAAGTGTATTCTTTGTGACAAGACATTCCTCTGAATATCAACAATTTGGACCTTTTAGCCCTGTCCTTGGAGTTTGACCATAATCAATTATGAGTGGGAATTCAGGATTTCACAAATACGGTTCTTTTTCCTAGAAACAGTACTCATGTGAACGATGTGGCCCACAAGCCTCTTGTTGTATAACATCACTAATCACAATCCACGTTTACCTATAAAATTTTTCCAAAATTCACTATTTTATAAATGCACATCAAAATGGCTAACAATAATGGAAAAGTTGTAATTCACAACCCTTTTGTTGTCCCTCAAATTTGATCAAACTATGAACCATATCGTTTCACCGAATTTTGATAATTAATCATGTTCTCATTAACAATCGAAAACAGTATATCTAAATAAATAAGGTTATTGGAAGCTACAAAATGGACATATGTGACTGTGTTACATCATTTTCTTCTTGTTCACATTATTTTTCTTTGAGTAATTAAAAAACACAGAGAGTGTGCGCACATTTTATGTTAATCACACATTAAATTATGACGTTGGGTTGCAAGAAATGTGATATAAATTAGATAAAATGTGGAATTTGTATGGAAATGCCTACCTCTTTGACATTTATTAGATGTCGAACCGCTCCACTTCCCGTCACATGCCTTACAGATGCCATCTATTGGACAAAAGAAGCTGTTACAGCAGGTACAGTGACAATCACAATCTCCATTCTCTCTGCACTGCACTGAAAAATAAATACAAAAGAAAGTGGTTTTAATGGTTCTTTTAAATAACATATATACGTTTCTGAAACCTATTGCAGCTCTAAAAAGTTAAGATCCTTGTCGAAAAAGGACGTTGCTTTTTTTCCCTAGACGTCTAACAGATATATATCTCTTGAAAAAAAAATGAAATAAAAACCATCATTGATCACAGCCTTTTTTTTTTTTTTTTTTTTTTTTTACAATTTTTTTTTTCGTCAGGGTTGGATACCGCGGTAATCTTCTTATGTGAATTTGATTCATTTCACTTTAACTAGTTTTAAATTGATCCCCAATTTGTTCAATATTCCTTCATTCATGAGCAAGCATATTTCTTTAAAACTAAAATTTGTCACAAAGAAAATTATATTCTTATCTATTCCTTTATTATTCAAAATCTTAAAAATTGAAGAAAAAAGTTCAAATCTTTCTAATATATACATGTACGTACGTTAAATTGTGTCATTGTGGTGTATCGAGATAAATCAAGTGCTAAGCAAGATCAAATTATATCGCGTATCTCTTATCACATCATTTCCTCGTTGTTGTGGCCTAAGGATTTTGTGTAGGTACATGCCGGTGTAAGTTACATTTACAATTCTTGGGTGCGCAATACACGTGTATCTTTTAAACAGCATGTATTTGCTTGTGATTTTGCGTCCTTTTTTTGCAAAAATCTTTTTAAAACTATGATTTGTAGGATTATATTTCGCTAACATACTAGTATGATAAATTTCTTGAAATTGTACTGACGTCAGATCAATATCTTAAAAATGACCTGTAATTATATCTCTCATTGAATATAGTCAGTTAACCTGGTATAGTTTACATGCTTGTATATCCGAGCATATTAATTTTTGTACATCTGTGATGTTGTATGTTAGCCTAGGGGTGTACAATATTAGATATCAAGCCCACGCAAGAACCGAACTATTTACCTGAATCCGTTCATTTAGTTCGAGGGGTCGACAAAACACATTTTGTCTGTCAAGAAATGTTTTGTTATATTTTTTTTTTATTTTTAACAAATCATGAGGTAAATTTTGTTACCCCGCTGTTGTTTCTGTAGAGTTTGTCGAACTCCAATGAATGCAAATAAGACATAACTGGCCCTGTCCATACTGTGACGTAAGCTATCCAACATCTCATTGACAGGTTCTACATTTCACTCTGCGGTCAAACATCGTTTTTTTTTTTTTATGACGGCTAAAAAAAAATTGGAAATGTTAGACCATTTTTGTGTATCGATATTCGGTATATTGCAATATTCAACTTATTAATAACGTTTCATCCATCCCATCTGCAAGGAACTGGAAAACATATTTTTCTCATTTTTATGGAATAATTCAACTCATAGGGTAAAATAAGAAGTTAATGATTAAAAGTTCAAGCAAACGCGCGTGAAAAAGTGTTAGAGGGTGTGATATCACAAGACATTGCTACAAAGGACAAGGCATGATAACGGTCGTATCTGGTATCTTAATTATTAGATGTAAAATTCAGAACGCTGTTAAAATTGAGATAATTTGTAGTTAAGAACTTTTAAAAATAACGCTTGTTTTAAAACAATGCTTGTTTTTCAGCACTGAATTTGATTCAAAGCTTTAACATAGGCCACAAAAGAGTGCAGATTAGAAGTAAGACATTTTCCCACGTATCCTCAACTTTTCTGAAATTTTGTCAAATTTGAGATACATTTTTTTTTCAGAAATCACAGAGCACAAGTTTGCCTATCTGAAATTTTCATACACATGATGCATCTGATGATAATGTATGAAATATATAAATCTGGTAAATAGACAAGTCTGTGCTCTTTGTTTTCTGAACCAAAATGTAAAATAGCTGAAAATTTGCATTAAAATACGAAAACTCGAAAAATTACATTTTCCTCTGACCTCCGTGTATCCCATAAGTTGGAACAAATATTCATTTTGAGGCAGGGGAAACAACAGGGTTTTTTTTTTATCAAATGTTGCATCATTCTGTCCAAAAAGGGGCCTTTGTCCATATCTTTTCCTTTAGTTTGCTTTTTCAATTCTCTTTTTTAATTAACGTTTCATTATGAATATACATGTACCACAATGGAAGTTTGATGAGAAAGACCCAAGCATTCCATTCATGCAAGCATAATATCTTATCAATAACCTCATCGTTGTAGATCTGTATCAGATATCTTCCTCCATCTATATACCTGTCGGCAGATCCAGGATATTGAAAAAGGGGGCCGGACCAGTTTGGATTTGGGATAGGGACCAAAGGCCACACAAATGAAAAAAATGATTTATTAAATCTTGCGTATATTTTGGGCACAAAAGGCAGACGGGCCCCATTGGTCCCCTCTTAATCCGCAAGTGATGCCACATAGCTTCTTACAATATGTATCTTTATAATCCACATACATCTTTAATAATCGAAAAATAATACTTACAAACAACACTGCCCAACATCACACATAGAACTAGACAAAACAAAATCCATTTAATCGACATCATGACTAATCACCACTAATTTATCAATGACAAGTTTTACTTAAAGTGTGATTTGTACGAAAAGACACTAAATGTAATTTGCTTCCTGGTTACTCTTTCTAAAACAGAAGAAATAATACACAGTGTAAAAGATGATACATTATTAATGATATATATAACCAGAGTATGTAGAAATAAAAATCGTTTGCTTCAGTCATGGTGTTTTTGTCATTAAACTTCTGGAATTTTTTTCATTGTTTAAATTGAAAATAAAGGTCATTGAACAATAAACACTTTAGTCGGACGTATTTTAGTTCATTTTTAGTATGGACATCCGGTTTGGTTATCTCTGATAAAGTATGTTTTCCCTTGTTGGAATACATTGTACGAAATCTTACATATATTTTTTTTGGATTTGTTTCTTTAATTAATAAAGGCTGGTAAGGTTTTATCAATGTTTCATAACAGTACTACATGTGTAATGAAACATGTGCTTTACTCTCAGATACAGTATGTACTGTACTTCAGTTTATATTTATCATGTTTATGTCATCTCGTACAAATATCGTTTTATCCCTGAATTAGTCTGCAGAAGTTATCGCATTGCTTGTATAAACTTGATAAATTGGCGAAATAACAACACACAAAATAAAATATGGGAAAAGGGAAAGAACCTTGAAAACAATTGATTCAAAGGATGACAATTCTAATTATGCATCAGGTAAACCAATTAAAAAATAATTTTAAAAAGGTTAATTTCTTTTCATTCAGGGCTTTCAAGAATCAAATCCAGAGCGCTTGTTTTCGAGATTCAATATCATGAAAAAACCATTTAAAAAAACCCTGATGTGTCAAATGCTGGAATTGGTCTTGAAAATGCAACTACCACTCAGTGTCCTCATTAACATCTCCTAAAAATGTTCTGTCAGCAAGTCACATCCCCAAACACCATGTCAGTCCTTTAAATATAGACAGATATATGAGTGACAATGCCGAAAGGTGGTTCTTAAAGGGGCCTGGACACAGTTTTAACAGATTTTTTAAATCCAATTTTAATGTTTACAATTCCTGCCTAAGGCATCATCTGTTGATTAGCAATGATTTGAACATCATTTCTTGATTAACAAACAAGATACAGAAGTTAAAGTTCTTCTTCATGTAAACAAGGCTCGTTCCTTGTTTTTGTTTACATATAGAAAATATCATATTCATAACAAAATTAAGTTCAGGAAATCGATAGTAACTGTCAAATCGTATTTAAAATTAAATTTTATTTGAAATTATCTACTTTGAATGGACATATATTTGTTTACTATATTAACCTGTGTAAACAAAAACTTGACACTAGCCTTGTTTACATAACAAAAGGACATCTGGCATTCAATTTTTTGTATGATCATTATAAAGACCCAACTGAAATATTTGAAAAAATGGATAAAATGAATTTTGACATTTTAGATGAAATAGTGTCCGTGCCCCTTTAATTATCAAGAGCTCATGGCGTGTGCAGGTGAAACCCATCCGAAGTTATTTCACTGACAAATTTTTGGTCAATTAAGGCTAGAGAACCCTTATAATATCAGAAAATCTGTCCAAGAAACAAAAGAGATGGAAAAGGTATAACAACAAGGGTACAATGGAACGGAGTACATATAATAAAGATTTGTTTTAGAGGTAAAATGTTCGCTGATCTTCAGTAGTAACCATCATTTATTCTTGACATGAGGAACAGGGTCCAATATGTGCATACTCATGGGGCTGCTCTTAAGCAGCTGGTACGGTGTAATTAAGACCCATGTCAAGCAGGTTCAACTTTAAGGGAAGGAAAATTATCCTCATTCAATGTTATGCAAAAAGTAATGCAACGGAGGAGCTAGCAATAGCATGCAGGAAAAGAAAGAATTTTTTCTGCATTACCGTCAATGACAGATTGTGAACCCCGCACATTATGGGAGATTTAAGAGGGGAATAGAATACAATGAACTCATCAAGGGAAAATATGGCATCATAATGGGAATAAAATATAGGTTATCAGAGATTACAGAGCTCACCTCAACGAATGTTTTCTTTAAGTAAGGCAAAGTCACACAATTAACCAACAAAAAGTGTACATCCAAATTTATCCAATTTTGATTTGATGCTTTGGAATAGACCTATATAAAAACTTCAAACTAGTTCATCATCATGAAAACGTAATTAAAATCCAGCATCTGAAGCAAGTTTGAGAGTTTTCATTCCTTGATGCATCATTTGCGCAAGTTTGGTTTATATAAGCTTTACAGTTTCTTGGTAATAGACCTGCACCCATAACTTTTACGAGGTCCATTATATTGAAAATGTATGTCGAATTCAGCATCTGAAGCAAGTTCATTAGTGTGCATCCTAAGATGTATCATCCGTGCAAGTTTGTTCAGCATAGAACTCAAAGTTACTTGGAAAGGAAACCTGTATAAAAAAAACTAACCTTTTCACTAATCCAGTGTAGGTCAGATTCAGCATCCGAAGCCAACCTAGTAGAATGCACCCTTAGATGTACCATCCATGCAAGTTTGGTCATTATAGGGCTCAAAGTTACTTGGAAATGAATCTTGCACCAAAAACTTTAACCTGTTCACCCATCCGGAAAATATAGGTCAGATTCAGCATCTGAATCAAGTCTGGTAGTATGCATCCCAAGATGTATCATCCATGCAAGTTTAGTCATTATAGGGCTCATAGTAACTTGGAAATGAAACCTGCACCAAAAACTCTGACCTGTTAACTCAACCAGAAAATGTAGGTCAGATTCAGCATCCAAAGCAAGTCTGGTAGTATGCATCCTAAGATGTACCATCCATACAAGTTTAGTCATTATAGGGCTCATAGTAACTTGGAAATGAAACCTGCACCAAAACCTTTAACCTGTTCACTCAACCGGGAAATGTAGATCAGATTCAGCATCCGAATCAAGTCTGGTAGCATGCATTCTAAGATGTACCATCCGTGCAAGTTTGGTCATTATAGGGCTCATAGTATCTTTGAAATGAAACCTGCAGCAAAAACCTTAACCTGTTCACTCAACCGGAAAATGTAGGTCAGATTCAGCATCCGAAGCAAGTCTGGTGGTTTGCATCCTTAGATGTATCATCCAAGCAAGTTTGGTCACTATAGTGCTCATAGTTACTTGGAAATGAGACCTATACCTTAAACTGCACCAAAAATGTTAACCTGCTCCAAATGGAAAATTTTATGTAAATTTCCGCAATTTCAATAGCTATCATTGAAGCCACCATCTTTCCACACAAGAAGACGGAAAGTTGAAATGAGCTTTGCTAAAGTTCAGGACAAGACGAGGTGCATATATAGTTTTAGACCATCAACTGACTGCAGTTGTGCAGATGTTGAAACTCAGAGCATTCAAAGATATCAATCAAGAAGGTTTTCCCGGCTTTGTGAACTTTGTGAGGGTATTCGACAAACAGATAGTTCAACTGTCTTAAAATTATATGCGGCATGGTTACACGAAGTATGTTCGAAAAGTTGTTTTTGAAAAGTCACGTGATAACAGGGTTTAAATAGAAAGGTCTTGTGCTAGATTGACGCTCTAAAAACTCTCACAAGCATTGAAAGGGATAAAATGTAATGACAGATAGTGATGCAATGGAATGTAATGAATTTGGGCAGTGCAGCTGTATCATAAATATATATATGTGGTTAATGTGTATTTAAAGCACTTTATTGTTTTATATACACGTGTTAGAGGCAGGAAAATAGCGACCAGACTGGGACTCCAATTACGTAACAAAGATAACATAATAATAACATGTAATGTCAGACAGGCTGAAATAACAGGGATGTCAACAACATTGTCCTCTTTTTCATATTTTCTTGTTTAACAAATGGTAAGAATAATAGAATTCAGTGTCTTTAGTCACATAAACTTTCGTGAACATTTTATCAAATTTTGCTAACATGGTCACAGCATCGATCACAGAATTTACAAAATGCAGGCTATAAACAAGTCTCTTGAAAGCCTTGTATCATCAACTTATTTATAATAGCTTGTCCCTATTTAGAAAACTTTTGAACATAGATCCTGCCGTTTCATCTTTAATACATTTTTTTTCAACAAAAGAAGATTTAGAAATTTATCTACATTTCTTAATATTACCTTTAATTTTATGCTTATCTGACTTTTATGTCATTATTTAATTTCCATATATGTTTTTATTCGATATATACAGGGTGTCCCAAAACATATGTTACACTTTTAATCATCTATAATTTTATTAAATCAAATGCATTCACAAAGATATTTTGCCAACATCTAGTGTATTAAAATACATTTTATCTGACAAACTTTCCGTAAAATTCTGTTAAGAGGTCAGGCAATTATAATGTCCTCATGACGTCATCATATTTTAATATGGAACCTTCAAGTGAACAGCTGATAGAAATTTTAAAACTTTACTTTTAGTCTAAATCTGCTGCTTTAGTTATTAGAATCATGAGAAAATAACATCCTGTAAAAATAGTGCTCAACAGATGCATGGTGTTCTGATGAAATCCTCCTCCATTTAAACAAATTTAAAGAGAATCTTAAATACTGTTGTTTGGTAAAACCAAATCTCAATGTTGAAAAACCTCTTAACAATTAGAATGTAACCTTTGTTACAACACACTTTGATAAATTACGCACTTTGAAAAAAATTTTCAAAGTGCGTTAAATTTGGGACCAAATCAACGCACTTTGAAAAAATAATTTTTTTTTTCAAAGTGCGTTGATATCGACCATATTAACGCACTTTGAAAAAAAGTGTATGTCTTGGTCAATATTCTTGAAAATCTTAGGTGTGATAAATGATTAAACCTGCTGGATAACTTTTCGGTAATAAGGTCACTTCCGGATGTGAAAGTGAGAGATTTTGATTTTTCCATACTTTGAAAATTCTTTCTCTCTTAAATGTGTTACTGTACTTTATTTTTTGCAGTTTGCATGGCATGCATTAAATGTAAGCTAAAATTAATCGAAAGTTTTCCTCGTCATACCACTTATGCAAATACACTTATCTGGGTGTAGCATAGTTATCGTTAGCATGGGGGGGGGGGGGTCTACACACAAATATTTTGCAAAGAT